AGATCTATTCCATGGGGGCGGGAGGAGGGAACAATGGATACGAACGAATTTCTGAAATTCGTTCGTACCCACCGACCCAGACATCCGGCGTCTCGAAAAAATCGAGACGGAGTCTTTCAATGGTTTTCGGCCGGCGAGGGCTCTCGCCAAGCCTCGGGGCCGTCAACAAGAAGGCTCGCGATGAAAAACCAGCCCCAGGGAAGTGATCGAGAGGTCGGGGGCCCGTGTTTCGAAAAGCCCATCTCTGACCCACAGGCGCACTCAACTTCTACCCGTCCACTTCTTCCTCGTCCGCCTGCTCGTCCTCGTCCTCGTCTTCCTCTCCCTCCTCCTATTCCTCCACCCCCTTCTCCTCTGCCTCTCCCTCCTGCTCCTGCTCCTGCTGCTGCTCCTGATCCTCCTCATCCTCCTCATTCCCCATGCCAGAGCCCGCAACAAAGCTCCCTCCGGCGAAAGACTACTCCTACGCAGAGCCGGGATCCTCGCCTCCATGGGCCCGCTGCGGGCCCCGGGACTGCCGCACACCGACCCGGGATGGGACACCCGCCAGGGCGGATCCCGGGAGGGCTCCGGGCAGAAGCTTTCGGGCGGACCCCGAGGAGGAGGGGGGGGGGGCGACCCTCGCCTCCGACGTCGCAACCTTTCCGTGACGTCGGCCCCCGAGGATCTCGGCCCCTCCCCCCGGGGCCAGCTGTCCCTCCCGAGGCGTCTGCCACCGGCCCCGGGGGCAGGGGCACGGCCTCCGGGTGCCGAAAGAAGCGCAGGGCACTTGCCGCGGCGAGACTTCGGGCCTCGCCCAGATCTGAGGGGAGGGCCAGGATCGGCCACGCTTGGCGGCGCGCGCTGGGGGGGTCATGCAACACAAATAGTCAAACATAGCAGAAAGATCGCCCCCAGACTTTTTTGTTTTGTTTTGTTTGGTTTAGTTTCATGTTTTATGACTATTTTTGAATATTCCTCCTGTAGAGGGACACGCCCGATTTAAGGGTATGAGGGAGGCGGGAAAGCTTCTCAGAAGGAGGCCGCCTTTTAGCACGCTCCGGCTTCACATCTATAGGCAAGGCCCGCGCCTCCTGAGAAGGAGGGGTGCTTCTAAGAAGCCCCCCCCCCCTCCCCCTAGCCCCCTCGGCGAGTGCCCGACATTATCGGCCACACGTAAGGGTGCCCCTAGGCAGGCGTGACCTCTGGTGCGCAGCTGTGGGGGTTCGCAGAGATATCTGGCGTCTCGGCTTCCCAGGGGCTCGGGCCGCCGACCTCCCGACCACTTCAACCTCCCCAAGGCTGGTTCTTCGTCCCGGAAGTCGTGCTTTGACGGTCTGGGGGCCCGGCGAGGGCCACCGCAGTCCGAAAACGGCCAAACACCTTCCGACGTGTTTTTTTTTTGTTGCGACGCGAGCATGTCCGGACCCCTGTGGTTGGCGTGACAAGCGATTCCTGGCCCCAAAGACATGTCTGCCCATGTTGGACGTTGGTTCAAAACTCTCTGTCGCCATGTGCGCGTCGATCAACAGCAGGTCTTACACGAGATGACACAGCGACCTTGCGCGGTGGCTCACGCGGGCCGCCAACGCGGCACGCTACGCTGCAAGCGAGGGCGCTTATGCGCGGCTTTACGCGGGGAGCTGACGCGCCAATGTCGGCGCACACGACCCAGCGTTTTGCGTCGCACATATGGTTAATTATGAGCCACGTCAACATTGCAGAGCGGGCGGGGGGAGGTTGGGAAGGGGCATGCCACTCCTTGACAAAAACCTTGCTCCGACTTGTGGCCGCCGCGATCGCCGCGACGACCTACAAAACCGACCCCGAGGCTTGGTTCGAGGTCGGACATCACGCAACAGGACTGGGGGCCTCCTACATGGGGTCCGAGCAGATGGTGTCGAAAGATCGCGCCGCATCGCCGATGCATCGGCGATGCATCGTCGATACTGGCTATGCATCGTCGATGTCGGCGTGGAGAAAATTAGGCTCCACATCGAGCCGCATGGCCGATGAATCGGCGATGCGGCGTGATCTTCCGACCCCATTTACTCGGACCCCATCTGGGAGGCCCAGAGCCTAGAGCAACAGGACCCCGGGTAGAGAGCAGAAACACCACCCTCATAGAAAAAAACACCCAGACAAGCAAAGGCGTTCAGCAAACGCGCCCAAGGAAGGAATCGAACTGGGCAGGGCTGTTTGGTAAACGCCCAGGGCCGCTTCGCAAGCGCAAATTCTGGGGGTCGGGGTGTTTTTTCGTCTCCTGACTGGTGGTCCGAACCCATCGGGCGCGGCCTGATCGACTCCTGGCAAACCATTCCGTTCCGCGAGGCCATCCTCGCCGTTCGAGCTTCCCTCCAGCCGCAGACATACGTCTTGGAGCGAGGCTTATGTCGGGCGTGTCCCCCTACAGGGGGAGTCTCGACGAAAAATAAAAAGCACCCCACAAATACCCCAAAAAGGTAAAACAAAAAATCAAAAAATATCCCCCAGACTATTCTTTGACTGTTTTTGGATATTCCCCCTGTAGAGGGACAGACCCGACTTAAAGCGAGGCGAGGCGGGCGTCGCGGAAGGTGATGGCTTCCCAGGGGTCGGTTAGACCGCGGGCCTCAACCCAGGGCCGCTCCGGCGAGGGCCCCAGAGGCGCGGCGGCGTGATGCGCCCGCTGCTCTGCCCGCGCCCGCGCCGCGACGTCCGCGGCGGGCGGCGCCCACCCCCGTGCCCCGCGGCTGCACGTAAGAGTGACCCTACAGGCAAGAGTGACCTCTGGTGCGCGGCTGTTGGGGGGCGCGAGGGGGCCAGAGACAAGGGCGCAGGGCGCTAAAGTCGTACCCCACGCGGCGACCAGGGGATCCGAGTGGGCGCGCACCAAAGGTCACTCCGGCGAAGGGTCACTCTCATGTGTAGTCGACGTCCCCGCGGCGTTCTCCGGCCGGTACTGAAGAACGATCATGCCTCGGCTGCGGCAGGTTCGTGTCTTGCTGACTTCGGCGCTGGCTTCTGACGTCGCGGGGACCGCTCAGCCTTGAACGATCGTCCGTTTCCGAAGCGTCAGATCATTCAACATCGACCGATTCGGGGTCGCTAGCCGGGTTCAACATTCAACGCCGACGGCGGGGTCGCCGCCGGTCGACACGACGCGAACCGACCGTACACGTAAGAGGTGCCCTCAGGCGCGGGTGCAGGCACGGGTGACCTTTGGTGCGCGGCTTGCCAGCCGTTGCGTGCGGTGCGGCAGTGGGCTGGCCTGCGTGCTCGGGCTGGGCTCCGAAGCGCTCCCCGAAAGCCGCGCACCAAAGGTCACTCCAGCGAAGGGTCACTCTTACGGGCAACCGAGTGTGAGCCATCCTGGACCCCAAACGGTAACTTATTGCACTGACGCGTAGGCTATGTGGCGCAAGCTATGTGGTGTAATCAATGTGGTGCAATATACGTGGTGCAAGCCAGAGGCGGCAACGAAACGGCAACGGCGCTGGACCGACCCAACGCACGCGGCAACGAGGCGGCAACTGGCGGCAACGTGGCCAACGCGGCGTCCTTCGGCCAGCACTGAAAAACATTCATCAACCTCTACATCGGGATCCCTCTACCCAACCATGCCCGCATCATGCAAAAAACACGACGGGATTTGTTTTTGCTGGGTTCGGCCTCCCGGGGCCCTTACTGGGCCTCGGGACCGTCAAAACACGACTCGGAATGAAAAACCAGTCCCCAGGAAGAGGACGAGAGGTCGGGGGCCGTGTCTCGAAATAAGTCGAAACGCAGGATGTCTGGGTACATCTTTCCTGGGAGTGGCGCGATTACATCACCGAGTTTCTCTTCATATTCTGGACTACTTCTAGGAACGTTCGGATTTGGACAAACAACCTCGCCGAAGGGGTGGCCATTCTTACGCGTAGCGGACAAGAGGGGGTGATCGGTCGTGGGCCAACCAAGCTCAACACAAACCCAACTCAACCACATCAGAACAAATGCACCTCAATTTTGGGGGTTCCCAAAACCGGCTCGACCAACATGCCACCTCCCTGGCCGCGAAGGGCTCCCAAGCCCGACTCCACCAAACTCCTGCCTTGCGGGATCTTGCAGCATCCTGCGTTCCGGCGGAGCCCCGTTCGCGCTGACCCCCTTCACGCGAGCGCCCCCTCCCGGCTGGAGGGCGAGTAGCCGGCACCTCTGGCGGATGCCCCGGGCGAGGCCATGCGTCCGGGGACGGGGTCTGGCGTGTGTGGGCTGTTGGGCGGTGGAGTGAGGGGCTGGCCTTAGGTCGGGCATGTCCTCATACAGGCGGATTCTGGACGAAAAACAAGACGTACGTAGTCAAACAAATGGTAATGAAAAATCGTCCCCAGGCTATCTTTTCACTACTTTTGTATATTCGTCACGTAGAGGGACGTGCCCGACTTAAGGCTAGCGGCGGGGACTCGGGCGCTCGCCGCCGTCGGGCTCGGCGGCTCCGAAGCAGCTCGCGCCGCCGCTGCAGAGAAAGCCCGGCCCCCCCAGAGTTTTCCCTGTGTATTCCTTTGAGCAAAGGCCGACCGTCCCAGCATTCCTATAGGCCTGCCACGACATGTTTGTAGAACCCCGAAGCGTTCTAAGAACGAGACCAGTTCTCTTAGAGCATTAACGCGATGAGAAAAACAAGGCCGTCTCAGCCAGAAATGCTCTGGGAACCCTTCGTGCCAACCACACAAGGTTCTCAGACCATCCTCTGGCGGGCCTGTAGGCAAGCCAAGATGCCTTGCCACTGCTTGATCCCTGCGGCCTCAGCTCAGCCCAGGAATGAGTCGACGAGCAGGAGGAGCACGAGGAGGTTCAGGCGGGGGTGCGAGGTGCAGAGAAGGAGGAGAAGGAGGAGGAGGAGGAGGAGGAGGAGAAGGAGGAGGATAAGGAGGAGGAGGAGGGGGAGGAGGAAGGGGAGAAGGAGGAGGAGAGAAGGAGGAGGAGGAGGAGGAAGAGGAGGAGGAGGGGGAGGAGGGGAGGCGCGCCTCAGCTCAGCATGATCCGCCCTCCGCCGAGGATCACCGGAGGCGGAGCGGGCACCGGCGGCGGCGACCTGGACCGCTCCCTGGCCGGCTCCTCGGGGGGGAGCGGGCGGCACGCAGCCGGGGCCTGGGAGTCCCGAGAGGCGCGGTCCCCAGCGTAGCTCTCCCCTCCTCTTCGAGGAGGAGGACGAGGAGGAGAAGGAGGATCGAGGAGTGAGACGAGCAGAAGGACCGAGGACCGAAGATCGAGGAGGAGGAGGAGAAGGACGAGGAGGAGGAGGAGGGGAAGGAGGCTGGCACGAGGTCGTCGGAGGAGGCTGGCACGAGGTCGTCGGCCAGCCCTTGCAGGCAATCCCACTTCCCTCCCCTCCTGTCCCGCTTCTCTCCTCTGCCCTCCCCTCCCGTCTCCTCGCTCCATGGAGGGGAGGGGTGGGGGAGTGGAGGGGGAGAAAGAGAGAGTGGTGCTGACCGTATGGTTTAGAGTAGAAGCTTCGCCCTGCTGGATCATCTGGTTGTCCGAGCGTTCAGCCCTGCTTTTTACCACCAGGCTGCGAAGATGAGGTTTCAGTAACATACCATCTTCTCAAAACATCAATGCTGCACGTAGTATCAGGTCAGCACGAACTGCAGTTTAGCAATTTCCTGGCCATGACTTCAGCTGAGCTTAACCTGACCCCAAAAATTCATAACTGTCAGGAGTCTGTACTACCTTAGCTACACAAGACTTTAAGCCTCGCTGCGCTTCGCCTTCGTATCTTGATCCTTGCACCTACATGTTTTATTGGCTCTGCGGTTCGCACATGGATGTAGCCGCAGCGTTGCTACGACCCATTCCCGAACCTGACGTTGGGGAAACTAACCTGGCGCAGCCCCGATTGGCAACAGACCAAACGCGTTCCGTCCAAACCGAACGTCAAGTTCGGCACTCGCCCAGCACGAAGGGACGGCAACTGCGGTCGCCAATCGTCTCGCGCCGGAGGTGGCGCTCGCAAAAGACAGATGTAATTTGCCGAGGCTCAAACGAGAGTGCCAGTCTCACGCACGGATGCGGCTGGCGCTGGGGCGGTATCACAAATCTTGGAAATGGATGTGGCTGGCACTTGGGCGGAACACCATTCTCTCATGAGGGCTGTGGGAACCGTGCAAGTGGAGCGGCATCACAATAGTCAAGCAGGGGCGTGGCTAGCGCTGCGGAATGAGTTCCGCGTTCCATGAAGGATTTGGCCAGCGCGTAGACGGCGGCATGACTCCCAGACAAGGGTGTGGCCAGCGCTCGGGCGAGAGCGCCAATCCCATCCAAGAATGGGGGTTGTGCGCGACCGGTAACATCATCTGCAATAAGGGCTGTGGCCGGCTCTGAGGCGACAGTACCGCTCGTATTGGAGAGTGTGGTCAGTGCTGGGGTGGCTGCGCCAATCTGGGATCACGATGCGGCCACGGATGGGCGAGATCACCATTGCCGACGTATTGCAAACCGTGCGAGCGAAGCGGCAGCACCATGCTGAATGAGGGAAGGAGGATGATGATGATGACGAGGAGGAGGAGGAGGTGGAGGAGGAGGGAGAGAAGGAGGAGGATAAGGAAGGGGATGATGAGGAGAAGGACGAGGAGGATGGGGGAGGGGAGGAGGAGGAATGGGTTGTGGGAAAGCTGAGAAGGAGTGGAAGCGAAGATCCGGTGGCCCCATAGAATGGCAGGGTTCACATAGCGTCCCCCCGCCGATTTCGGCACAGCCCTCACACGAATCGTGCCCCCCAGGGAGCTCTACTTGCAGGTCCAGGGACAAAATTCGCATGTTCCTCAAAGGAAACTGACCATCGAATTTTGGTTCCCGCGGGCGCTGCGGGAAAGCACATGGCGGCTGCCGAGGAACAATATGAGAAAAGGAGGAGAGTGATGGGGGAGGGGGGGGGTCGAGGAGGATGTGGAGAAGGAATAAGCAACATTGAAGGAAGCTGAACATCATATTTTGGTTCCCGAAGTCGCTGGGGGGGAAAAAAGGAGGATGAGGAGGAGGGGGAGGAGTGAGGCGACGAGAGGAGGAGCACGAGTAGGGTCGGGCGGGGGTACGAGGTGCAGAGGAGGAGGAGGAGGAAGAGGAGGAGAAGCAGGAGGAGGAGGAGGAGGAGGACGAGGGTCAGGCGGGGGTACGAGGTGCAGAGAAGGAGGAGGAGGAGGAGGAGGAGGAGGATGCAAAGGAAGGGGAGGAGGTGAAGGAGGAGGAGGAGGAGGAGGAAGAGGAGGAAGAGGAGGAGGAGGGGAGGAGGATAACTGGGCTGTGGGAAAACTGAGAAGGAGTGCGAACGATGATCCTGCGGCCCCGTAGGAAGGCAAAGTTGACATAGCGTGCCCCCAGGGGCTGCACTTGCAAATCCAATGTCAAAATTCCGCACGGCGTCGTTCCGCCCGTTTCAGTACACCGACATCCTTCAAACACTTTCGGTTTCGGAAGGATTCTAAATCGAGTGCCAAAACGACATATAAACCACATGGTTTCGCAACACGGATTTTCAAAACAACGTGCGCGCGCGCGCGCCCTTTGCGAACTTTTAAGAAAGCCATCGGTTTTTCAACACTTTCAGAACATACAACCAAACAGGCTTCGCGCGCGAATGTCGAAATCGTTCGAAAGTCCTGGCGCGCGTGCCGTCGCGAGAACCCTTTGCAAAACACTGGACGAAGTGCACACGCGCGCGTCGTCGCGCGCGCATGTCGAAATCCTTCACAGACCTGCGGTTTTAGAAAGATTTCGAAACCGAATGCTCAAACAACATAACATACATGGTTTCGCAACAACAGTTTTCAAACAAAGCTTGCGCGCGCGCAGGACAATTCAACAACTATTTGTATTAAAAACACATTTTCATGGAATTCTGCCGAGCGGGCCTCTGGCGCCGCATGCCGACATCATTCGCACGCACTTGCGCGCGTGCTGGGGGGGGCACGGGCCGTGTCAAATAAAACCATGCGGGCCACTCTCGCGCGTCGGCCGCGCGCGCATGTGGTCATCATCGACGCGGGGACGCCGTCATCGTCGTCGGCGTGATCAGGATCGGCGCCCGCACTGGCCGCGTCTTCGTCGGTGCGAACATCGTCACCAGCATCGCCACTATCATCATCGTGCCTACCGTTGTCGGCGTTGCCATGATACCGCGCCCGCCCAAGTCCCCGACTCGCAGTGAAGTGCCCGCTGGGATGCGCCCAAATGTCAGCGTCACCACGGCCGCGTCGGTGGCGCCAAGCTAGCTGGCCGCTGCGCGCGCGTGCTAGGGTTGGCGCGGCCGCAGAGATGCACCAGCCAACGCCAAGCATGCATCGCAATCGCCACCGCATGGGTTTTGCAAACCAAGTTGCGGGTAGGTGGGTGGGATGTTTGCGAGAGGATGGGATGTGTCAACTCGTTTGTTTAAATCCATTGCGCCACATAGATTCTCCTTTCTTAAAAGAGAACAGACTCTACCCCCCCTGTCTTATCGCTTCTCCCTTGGATCATCTGATTTCATATATATATATGTATATATATATATATATATATATATATATTTATATTCTGCACACTCGTCCATCCTAAATATGAAACCATACCATCCCAGCCAGGCCGGGTTCCCCCCCCTGAGGTTCCCTGGTAAGAAAACACTATGCGGTGACATTTTTTGTTCTAACATAGCATTTTTGCACGAATCCCTTGCCAAAAAAAGGGACGAAGTGCACACGCGCGCGTCGTCGCGCGCGCATGCCGAAATCCTTCAAAAACCTTCGGCGCCGGAAGGGTTTCGAAAAACATACAAAAACACATGGTTTCGCAACACTGATTTGCTAAAAAAGCTTCCGCGCGAGCTCTTGCGAAATCTTAAGAAACCATAGGTTTTTCAAGACTTTCACGAAATGCTACCAAACGGGCTTCGCGCGCGCGCATGTCGAAATCTGTCGAACGCCCTTGCGCGTGTGCCGTCGCGAGAATCCTCTGCAAAAAAACGGGACGAAGTGCAGACGCGCGCGTCGTCGCGGGCGTATGCCGAAAACCTTCAAAACCCATCGGTTTCTGAAGGATTTCAAAATCGTGCGTCCGAAAAACCTACAAACACCCAAGGTTTCGCAACACGGATTTTCAACAAAAGCGTGCGCGCGCGCTCTTGCGTCGTCGTCGTCGTCGCCGTCGCCTCCCTCCTCCCGCGTCGTCGTCGTCGTCGCCTACGTCGTCCTCTGTCTTTTCTCGTGTTCGTCGTCGTCGTCGTCCTCTTTGGCGTCGTGGTCGTTTCCGTCGTCGTTGTCGCCGTGGTCGTCCTTCCTCCTCCTTCCACGTCGTCGTCGTCGTCCGTCGTCGGCGTCTCGTCGTCGTCCCTCCTATTTCGTCGCCGTCGTCGTCGTCGTCGTCGTCGTCGTCGTCTTCCCTCCTCCCTCGTCGTTGTCGTAGTCGGCGTCGCCGTCCTTCGTCCTTTGTCGTCGTTCCCGTCGTCGCCGTCCTCCCTCCTCCCTCGTCGTTGTCGTCGTTGTCGTCGTTGTCGCCGTCGTCGTCCTTCGTCCTCCCTCGTCGTCGCCTTCGTTGGCGTCGTCGTCGTCGTCGTCGTCTTCGTCGTCGTCGGCGTCGTTGTCGTCGTCGAAGTCGTCGGAGACGTCGTCGGTGTCGTCCTAGTCGTTGTCGTCGGTGCCGTCGTAGTCGGTCTTAACAGGTTTTGCAAACCAAGATGCGGGTGGGTGGGTGGGATGTTTGCGCGAGCAGTGGAGATGACGACTTCAAGTTCAGCAGAGTGGACTGCACCACATAGAACGCACCACAATGATTTTACAACAACATTGAGTGCACCACAGAGATTGCACCACAGAGGTTGCTTCACATAATGCGCCACATAGATCACACCACATATATTGCACACCACATATTACACAACGCAGATTACACAGCATGGATTGCACCACATAGATTGCCCCCCACACATCTTACACAACGTCGATCAATGGTAACACACTGTTTGGGGTCCCCGCTGGCTAACATTGATTATTAACCCGGGGATGTTTTTTCGTGTTTTCGCGTTCTCGAATTTTCGGGCTTCCGAAAACCCAAGGCGGCCGAAGAGGCTCCCAAGGTCGCCCCAAGACGTCTCCGAGAAGGCCCGAAGACGCCCCAAGAAGGCCCCGAGACAACCCCAAGACGGTCCACGAGGGCCCCAAGACGGCCCGAAAGAGTCCCAAGACAGCCATACAGACACCCCTAGAGGCCCCGAAGACAGGCCTGATAGAGCCCCAAGACGATCTCCGAAGGTGCCGGACAGCCCGAGAGCACCCGAAGACGACCCCAAGGTGGTCCGAGAGAGGCCCAAGAAGCCCTCATGAGGGATCACATGGCCCGACAAGAGCCCAACTAAATCCCCAAGATGATGCTGAGGGCCTCTCTTCCCCCAGTGGTGCCCCCAATCGCTGGGGAGAATACCCAAAGGTCTAGCACGGCCGCACCTTCGCTCGACATTTCACGACTCCGGCGTTTCCAGAAATCGGCGGCGCGCCCAGGGGGGCAGTGAGAAGGAGCAAGCCTTTCGAGCCTTCTGAGGCGGCCCGCCCCCTCTCACCTCCCCGCGGGCTCGCCGCCGACGACAGGCAGGGGGCGGCGGTGACTCGCCGTAGGCGTCTTCGATATGCATCCGCGACCCAAGCCCACGCCTCGTCGCAAAACAGAACACTGGGTCCGCGCTCCCGGGGCGACGACCACTTGTAAGCAAATCAACAGATCCGCGCTGGGATGGGCTGGGATCCCTAGGGGTCTCTAGTAAGGTACACTGGGCTCGCGCCCCCATGGCCGCGATCTGACGGCTGCGCGCTCCCAGAATCGATATCTGGCTCTCTCTCTCTCTCTCTCTCCTCCCTTGGTTCCGTTCCTTCGCCTGAGCCCCTCATACCCCCCCTGGTTCCCTGCGGCAGGCTCGTGTCGTGACGACCTGCGCGTTGGCTTCTGACACAGCGCAGATCGCTCGAAAGCTGCCAATTCTGGCCGCTGGCGGCGGTCAATCCTGAACGCCCGCGCTGGAGTCGCAGCCGCGTTGACACGACACGAACCTACCAGTGCCGCCCTGGCCCGCTCCATTCTCCTGGTCCCCTCCTTTCGCATCCTCCCCTCCCCCGCCCCGCCTGGCGGGCCCCTGGACCCCCCCTGACCTTCAGCCCATTGTTTTCGTCGTCGTCGTCGTCGTCGCCTCCTGGAGCACCAGCCACCTGGGCGCCCCTGGCCCAGCGCCCTGCCTCCTTTGGTCCGCAGCTGATTCTTTTTGGCGCTGTTGGTCGTCGTCCTGTCCCGCCTCCCCCGCTGACCCCCCCTTCCTCACCCTGCTCCTCCTGTCCCTCGCCCCTCCCTCGTGCAAGAGCCAGTGCACGCGTGTCCATTGTCACGAACGCCCTGTCCACGAAGTCAGGTTCTCAACTGGTGCCCCAGTCCCGCGCACGCACGCGGCGCGCGGGTGAGCAAAGCCGTCTACCGCGACAACACACATGAAAACCGCCCGCACCAACAGCGAAGCTGGAACCGACCGAAGCCGATGGATCGAAAGCAGCCGAAAAGGGCGTAGCGACGCAGCAACGGCACGACAAGCGACTGAACCGAACCGACCGAGCGCAACCGACTGCACCCTTGGTGAGGGTCCTCTGGGATCTCCACGGTCCCCTCGATGTCCAGCTCCACAGGTGGCCCAAGAGGCTCCACGTCGCTGAGGGAGACGGTGGACTCGGAGCTGGATTCCTCGCCCATCACCACCAGCTCTCCTGCCGACGTCTCACGATGAAGGGGGCTAGCGACAAAGACAGCCAATGGATCCTGAAAGGGCGCAGGACATCGGCTAGCCGCAACAGTGACCCACTGCAAGGGCGAACTCTGGAGGGCGGCTTTGGGGGGTCGCGGTGGGGTTAAGCGCACGCGCGCAAGCCAGTGCTGAGGAGGGGGGGGGCGGATCTGTGGGCCCGCCCCAAGGGTGAGTGACTTCGGCGAAGGGCCACTCCTGCGCGTAGCTGAGGATAGAAGCAGAACGGGCACAAGCACAAACTTTGGGAGGCCCGCGCGGATTTCTTGGGTTGCCGCTGGATCCTTGTTTGACGCGCCAGGGGCGGCGCCAGGGGCGGCGCCGGGGACGGCGCCAGGGGCGGCGCCCGGGGCGGCACCCGAAGCGCCGCTAGGGGTGTCCCACGCCGATCCAAGACGTCCGCTCGGAGCTCCGACGACTGATGTTAAGTCGGGCCTGTCCCCCTACATTTTGGGATTTTCGACGAAAAATAACAAATACCCCCAAAACGGTAAAAAAATAATCCAAAAATAGTCTGGGGACTATTTTTTGAATATTTTTTGGCCTTTGGGGGTATGTTTTGGTCTTTTTCATTTTTCATCGAAAATCCCGCTGTAGGGGGACACGCCCGACATAAAACTACTGTCTATGCTGCTTTTTCCTCTCCGTGCCCTGCCGCTGCCCCCCGATTCCGTCGCGCTGCAGTAGCTCATGGCTTTTTTCGAGGGGACGCAAGCGGGCACCTCCACACGAACAACTCAACGAAGCAAGCGATACGCCTCAGGGTTAATTCAAATACCCCGTGCAATCGAAAAGAGGTGAAACGCCAGAGATGCAGAGAAGCGGCCTGGCCATGCTTATGCCGCTTCTTGCACCTCGAGCGGAGGGAGGTCGCGGTGGTGGCCACTGCGCTGGTGCCAGGGCGCACTCCCGTAGGCTCTCTCCGCGGGAGCCCTCGCGGCCTGTCCGGGAAATCGCCGTGGGAGTGACCCTGACGCTGCCGGACGGGTGGCCCATTCCGGAAACCCTGAACCCCAAAATGCTGCCACCTCTGGGGCGCTTATCTTTCACTTCCGCCCACTTCCGCCAACCTTCCGCCGAGGAAGAGATGCCAACTCCTCCGATCCTCCAAGACAGAGGCCGTTCTTGAGCGCGCCGTGTGACCCTCATGGTCCGCCCGTTGAAGTGACGGGCGCCGAGGGGCTCGCCGCGTAGCCTGCTGCCTGGGAGGGAGGAAGCACGGACAGAAGTTTGCCGCGAAGGGCCTCGGGTGAGGCACGGAGCCTCCTTCTGCACAACGAAGCGCCGAGGTGCACGAGGACCGCTAGAGAGAAGAACACGGGAGGATCCATGGATGATCGAGCCCCTTCTGGACCCCAAACTGACTTTACCTCAACATCTCGACTGTCGTAAGGCGAGCCTCTGGAGATACCCGGAGGCCTCTGAGGGGCCCTCGAGGCATCGGGAGAGTAACGGGGCTCGCGGCGAGGCATGTTTTTTTGAACGTGACTTGACTTTGTTTGTTGTCCCTTGTCTTCAATTGCCTTCGGAGACCTCTGGGGACCTCCTGGGGTCAAGATCTGGGGCAACATTACAACTTACCAACCAATGTTGAAACGACATCGGGTTGAGATAAATTGGACGTCTCAGCGGAATGGCGGGTCTGGAGGATGCGGCGGGTCTGGAGGATGCATCGGGCGCCGCAGCCGTTCCAGAGCGTTGCGGAACGCTATGTAACGATTTCTCTCCATCCTAACCCTGCATGGTTCCTCCTCCTCCTCCTCCTCCTCCTCCTCCTGAGGAGCCCCACAATGGAAACCGTTACTTTGCGCAGCTGACAGCCATTGACCCGAAAGAAAATGAAAGAAGACGTCGAACAAATCCCTTCATCGGTGCTCGCCTGAGCGCCACGGACTAAGGGGGACACTCTACAAGGGAAAATCGCATGAGACCGAAGGCGGACGAGGAGAGCAACGTGCGGACGTGAGGAAGCGTCGCATGATTTTGTATGGTCCACTGCACACCATCGTAAGAACATCTCATGCGCATCGCATGTCTCTCTTCTGTTCCCTCTATTCCAGTCGCCCCCCTCTTGGGATCAAACTCTTTGTCAAGCGTCAGCCTGTACTTCCGAATCTCTGTCATCCCGCCCTCGCTGTCAGATCGCCCACTTCCCCTTCACAACTGTCTCCTGCCATCACCTCCACCTCGTCCAAATCCACGGGGCCACTGGAGCAGTCCCCGATGGACACGGCCTCCTTGTCGGAGGCGCTGGCGCTGGCCTTCCTCTTCTTTTTCTTTTTCTTCTCTTTCTTTTTCTTTTTCTCTTTTCTTTTCTTGTTTTTTTTCGGCTTCTCCCCTGGCCTTGAGCGTTGCTGGTGAAGGGTGCCAGATCGCGCTCACTCGGGCATCCCCGCGCCGTCGTCGTCCTGTGCTTCCCTGCCGGATCTGAGCATGTATGGTCACAAGATCGACCCCCCCCCTGGTTCGCGTGTTGCCCAAGGTGTCCAATTCGCCACGGATGTGTCTCGCCGTTGCTGTGACCGCGTCTTGGACCCAATCCTCCGCTGACAAATGAGTTGCCAAAGCTGTCTCTGGCCCAAGATGTCCCCAGGAGATCCAAGGAGGCCCAGATAGCCTCCAAAGGACCCGTCACGAGGCCCGAAGGGCCCCGTGTTCAAAAATGGCTCGACAAGCTGGGGACACCTTGGGCCAGGAACACCTCTTGCACTCCCCGACTTTCGGCGGCGCGCGCAAGGGGGTGGGGCGAGAGGGGGCGGCACTGCAAGAAGACGGGGGGGGTTCTGAGACAGCATGTGGCCTCCTGGAAGCCCTCCTGGATACCGAGAGACCTCCCTGGAGGAAGTCCGGGCGCTTCTCAGAGGGCCCCTGCCGTCCGAGAAGCCCTTCGCCTTCTTTCGAGGCCGCTGGACACACACGCGCGCGCGGCTGCCTCCTCCTGTGGAACATGCGGAGGCCACGCGCCGGCTGGCCACGGGGAGGGCCAGGCGCGAACGACCACGGGGAAGGCCGAGCGCTGGAAGGCCACGTGGCCACACGCCGGCCGGCCGCGCCAGCTGCACCCACCCTCTCGGCCGAAGGCCACGCCCCCGCGCGCCACCCCACGGGGCGCGCCGCCGGCCGGCGCGGCGGACTCTCCGGGCGGCTCCCGGACGATCGCGAGGGCGGAGCCGGCCGGCCGAGAGAGGAATGCTTGCGCCCCTGGGTCTGCACCTGCTCTGCGCGGACGGAGCCCTGCGGGAGCCACGGTCGGCCGCTTCTGCGGAGCGTGCCGTGGCGGCGGCCCCTGCGAAGCACGCTGCACCCTCCGAGCGGAGAGCGTGTCGCTCCGCTCCGCGCGGCGGGAGGTTGGGAGAGAGCTCGGGCCGTGGACGCCTGGGGACCAGTGCATGGTTAGCGTTTCGCGCCGAAGCGTAGTGGGCCAGAACCGGCGGCGCGACACGCTAAGCAGAAACTCCTGACCTTAGATCGTGCACGTGGCCGACTCTGGAAATCCTTGATCAAAACATGTTAGCGTCTCGCTTTACTTCTGCCAGCTTGCGCCGGCGGAGTCGCCGCCGTTTTGCTTATGGCATCCACCAACCTTCGAGGGCGAAGCGGCCCTTTCTTGAGCGCGCCGTGTGGGTGACGACACATTAGCGAATAGGGGTCGCCAAATGATCTCGAACATACCACGTCTCTGCACGACATGTCGAGGGGGTCGGCAAATAGAAACGAACCGCAAGGCCCCTCGCTTGTGGCCACGTCTAGGCAACAAGAGACTTCTTCACGTGCTTCAGGTAAGTGTGTGGATGACTCCTATTTAGATTTTGGAATTTTCAGACTCTCATGGCTGGCGGACAGGGAAGCCGCGTGGATGAGACGCAGCTGGAGGGTAAACTGGCGGTGGACGAAGATGTGGGAGAAGAAAGAAACTGTGTGGGAGGAGCGAGGAGAGGAGGATGGGTCATAACATACGGCAGATGTGTTGTCAGACGGAATATAAACATCGTATGGGATGGATCGCATGCTAATGCCCCTAGACATGAATGCAACACATCCGCGCGTGTACGTGCACTGATGGATGGGTGGTCGTTCGTATATCAGGATAAAACTATTCACAGCACGTCGGATCACTCTACGCACGCCTGCTGACCATATCGGCAATGCAACGTGAGGGGCAGTTCAGGAACTTGCCTTTGGGCGATACCTCGGCACTGTAAGCTCATGTGCGACCCCTCCCTCCCTCACCGCTCAGCCACGCCGCACATGCTGTAATTATGTTCCGCCCAAATCTGTGAAACTAACACTACGCTTTCCGATACAGCCTGGCACAATAGAAAGCCAAACACGTTCAAAACGGCCCCTGATGGATGAATGAGAGGCCCAATCGGCCCCGAAGGAGAGTCACGACACGGCCCATGAAGACCCAATGCTGCCACAGCGCGGCCCAACACGGGCCCAACACGGCTCCGACAAGATCACCACAGGATCCCAAAACATTGAGAACTGTTACCCTGGCAGGTGTCAGGGACGCAACACAAATGACGCCCTTGCAGGGTGCAAGTTGGGTTGGGGTCGGATCCCGTGGGGCCGCGCTGGTGTCCTGGTGCGCTCCTGGCAGGGCCGTGGTACGCTCCTGGCAAGGCCCTGGTAGGCTCCTGGCAAAAAAAGAGTCACAGTAGGGCCCTGGAAACATTCAAAAGTGGTCCAAATGGCGTCCTGGCAACCTCCGTGGTGGCATCCTGGTAGGGTCTGCAAGGCCATCGCGGGATGATCATATCCTGGCAGATTCTCGCAAAGGCCTGGTAGGAGGACCGTGACAGGGCGGCCGTGGTACACAGTTACGGTGCAATCCCCGGCAGGATCCTAGCAAGGGTTCGGCTGGGGCCCTGGCTAAGGCCCCGACGAGGTCCTCGAAGGGTCCTAGCGGCGGAGTCCTGGCACGGCTGGTATCTGGTACTGTAGAGCGCTGGTATGTCCTGGCGGGGTCCAAGTGGGGTCGTGGTAGGGGGAGTGATGCTACATTTCTGGCGATGTCATGTATTTTCTTTTCTTTTTTTGGGGGGGGGGGAAATGACCTGATAAGGTTCTGGCGTTCTGGCCCGGTTCTGGTAACAGTATGCTTTCGGGATGTTAATGTGGCTCTTGCTAGCGCGAGAGCACCGTTCAGAGCATGGAATATGGTTGGTGCTAGTCGTAAATTTCTCTCCGAACTGGGAATGTGGCTGGCGGTAGGACGAGAACCGAGATGGGCATGTGGCCGGCGCTCGTACGAAATCACACCCACTTTGTAGCGAAACGTGCAGTGGTAAGCCAAGACACGACCAGAGAAGAACAAACTGACCGCCCATGATGGAAGGATGCTATAATGAAGCAAAGTTTGACCCCATGAGCCCTGTTCGAACCGCTCCAACATGGGGATTTATCTCTACAATGTCTCTGGTCGAAACGTCCAGGAAGACCTTGGAGGTCTGGCCGAGCCAGGCGAAATACGCGCGAGTGAGCTCGTGAGATAAAGGCTGCGATCGTGGAACGCTGAGGACAAGGCTCTGCGCCTCCATCGGCTTCAGCACTTCCTGGATTCGTTATCTGCCTGGCAGCAGCCATGACCTGCTTCAACTTCGAGCCGAGGTGGGTCTGCTCTATCATCGTCCGCCTCAGTCATGTCAGACTCCCCATGTCAGGGGCGTTCGCAGAGCAGGCTCTGCTAACAGCGTTGCATGAGGAAGACGAGGGAACGAACGCTGCTCCTCGCTTCAGGATGCTGAGGCATTTAAAGGTGGAGGAGGAGTAGGAGGAGGAGGAGGACGAGGAGGAGGAGGAGGAGAATGAGGAGGGATGAACGATACATTGCAACACTGCACCTTACGCCGCCGCGTCGCGGAACACATTACTGGGCGGGCCAATACTCTGCCATCGAAGCGTGGCTATGCGGCTGCACCTGCTGCTTCGATTGTTCACTTCGTCAACTTAAGTCGTTGGAAATTTCTCAAACCAAACCTGGGCTTTTTTTGTGTTAGCGCTGGAACGGCCAATGTGCTTAAGACACTGGGCTAGCTTTCTGACAAGTTGGTTAACCAACGCTGTCCCAGCTTTTCCAGAGGAGGTTTGTTAACCACATGGTCGACCCTACACTGAACAATTCGCCGGCCCAACGGGCCAGGGCGTGCTAAGATCTCCGGTAACTGGTTAACAGTATTAACAGTATTTCTAGTTCGCGCGCGCGGGGCGGCCCCTGGGGGTCCCCCGGCGAAAAGTACCCCGACCAACGCCCGGTCGCCGCCCGACCAAAGTCTACTCAGAGATGGTTTTCCTTCTGGGTGCGGCCTCTCAGGCTCCCCAGAGCGCGCTCAGAGTGCCCCAAGAGGCCCCCAAGACTGCCCAAGAGGCCCCCGAGACGCCCAAAGAGCGCTCGAAGACGCCGAAGATGACCCCAAGACGGCCCAAAAGGCCCCCAAGACAGCCCAAGAGGCCTCCAAGACGCCCCAAGAGCCTTCCAAGAGGCCTCCGAAGAGAGCCCCAAGAGGCCAAAATCGTTGATTTTCATTGTTTTTTTCGATGTTTTTTGTGTTCTGGCTTTTTCGGCTTCCGGACGCTCCAAGACGGCCCAAGAGGCCCCCAAGACCGCTCCAAGACGGCCCACGAAGCTCCCAAGACGGCGCCGAAACGACCCAAGAGAGCCCTCAAGACGGCCCAAGTGCCGCCCAAGACGGACCAAGAGGCCCCAAGACGGGCCCAAGAGGGACTCAGGAGGGATACCGAGAACTCAAAAATGGAGCCCTCCGTCCCAGAAGGCGCCCAGGAGGTCCCAAAGAGGCCCCAAGAGGCCTCCAAGAGGCCCCAAGATGTCGCCAAGAGGCCCCAGGAGACTCCCAGGAGGCCCAAAAGAAGCCCCAGAAGGCTTCAAACATGTCTCCCAGGCGCCCCCGAACGGCCTCTCAACAGACCCCAAGAGGCCCCCCAAAGAAGCATCTTGACGACGACTCTATTTCGCCCCATCGAGAGACGACCCCCAGGGAACTGCTTCACCATCAAAACTCCCCACGCAACGCGTCCGAACGACACCCGCCCCCAAGAGCGCAACATGGGCAACGAACACACAAACAAAAACCAGCGATGCCATATCACGGGCCGGCGGAATGAGCGAAGCAATTCAATAACACTAGTTTCGTTGGCACCCGCGGGAAAACTTGGTTTCTCACGTCTGGGAATCCTCCTAGGTACCAGTGCGCAGTTCACTAGACATCGCTACATCGCTCACTTTGTCCCCTGCCAAACGAGAACTGGTGCCCGCCAACTCTTCCGAGCGTCAACATACACCCTTACGCACACCGTGCTACCATGAGAAACGCCACATTGGGAACGAAAGAGCTTTCTGGACATGGTGGGCCTCGGCCACGAATATATTCCCCGACCTAGATCCAATGAACGGCTCGAAAACCAAAGCCCCTCCTGAGCCTAAAGTGGTCGTCATTTCAGCGTATTGACTGTATCGGTGGGAAAAATCAACCCGACCCTCGGTGTAACCAAGCTGTCGAAAGACAAACTGAGCTGCAACCAGAGTGCTTGTTCAACGAAAACGGTTTGATATGAGCGAAGACGTGTTCTGTGCTCGAAAACTGTTGCTGTTGCCAGGCATCTCCAACCTGTTGCTGGCCCCATCTTTGCAACGCTCCATTTCGCTCCGAAGCGGACACACAGTCTGCACGAGTCGGGTTAGGCGCGCTATGATTCATAGACTCCCAAGGCCCACGAAAGGCCAGAACTTACATATGTGTATCAGAAGTGCATATGGGAGGCTTCACCTAGACCCAAGATAACCTCAGAAACCTCAGCGATAAGCGGGCCCCAAATCGGCCAAGGGAGCTCCAATGGCAACGCGCGCGCGCACCTAGAGAGGCCAAACATAGCAACCCACACTCGCAAGCACAGAAGACGCGCGTCGACGCGGCGACCTCAATAACCACACATCCAAAACAATCTTTGCCGACCGAACTGCCGATTCAAGATCGTCCGCCACCTGGGCGCTTCCCTGCTCAGATCTGTGTGCGGGGGGTGGGAGGAGAAGTTGCGCTGCACTTGTATGGTTGGGTTTCGCCAGTGTTGCCCCAAGACTGCAAAATCAATAACTTTCGAATCGGGCAATCGGTTCGTATCGGAATGTGCGTCGGATCGGGCTGCATCGGCACGGGGTCGACATCGAAAACTATCGGCCGCGAAATGATGCACAACAATGCCATGCAAGCATCGAGCCGCATCGGATCGTGGGAACATCGGGATCGAATATCGCATCGGAACAGTATCGGATCGATCGGGTCGAAATGGACACTTCGAGGATGGCCAGAGCCCAACATGATCATCAGCGGAGCTCTGAAATACACTCAGTAACGGCCCAGTGTGCGCACGCGTCATATCTGACGTCTTGCCCCTCCCTCCCATCCCTTACCTTGGCGTAGATCTCCTCTCTATTCGCACACTCGGATGTCGAGCAAGGCAATGATCGCGAGAAGGGACGCGATGCATGGTGGAGCACGGAATGGCATTGCGTAGAAGAGCACGGCAGAACGTAGCATGCCATAGCATGGCGCGGCAGTGCGCAACAAAGCGTTGCAGCACAAAGCATTGCAACGCAACACATGGCATCGCACAGCGGCGCAGAACACGACACCGCACAACATGTCATGGCATGGTGCCGGGTTCCTTGGAGGGTAAGTGGATCGCCTTCGAGAAACCTGGGCAGGTCTGGAGTCGTGTCTCCATGTCTAGCTCATTGGGCTCCCCGACAAGCTCCACACAAGGCGGGGCTGATGGAGAGCCACCGCTGGCTCTGCTTCCAACATCGCTTTCTCAAAGCAGAAACGGGGCTCCCGCTTGATACTTCCTGAAAACGACGATGCCTCAAATTTGGGGTGGGTGGGGGGGATGGCTTCTGCGGCCCAAGAAAATCAACGAATCGACATCGAATGTGCAATCATTTCCAATGTTTTTTTCGGGATCCATTTTCTAGCTTTTGGGGCCTATTTGGAAGGACCGAAAACGCCCGCGCTGCAGCGGGAGCACGATTTGGAACAACAAGAAGCGCAGAAATGGGGCCAGCGCTTCAGCGGGAGCAACATGTTGGACAAAAAACCCAAGCGAAAACCAATATCCCGGGAATCCTGTGTGTGTGTGTGTGTGTGTGTGTGTGTGTGTTAAAACCGTCTGCGGAGGGGGGCCGGACATCTTCCGGACGTCATCAGGGGAGAGAGGAGAATAGTATTCATATTGTGTCATTGTGGAGGGTGGGAGGCTTCGCAGAAGCACCCCTGCTTCTTAGAGGGCGCGGGCCTGACCTACAGATGCCAGGCCGGCGCCTTCCAAGAACCAGCCTCCTTCCAAGAAGCCTTCCCCGCTCACCCCTGCCCATTTGTGCCCCTGTGCGCGCAGCCCTTGCCACCGCTCGGACGTCCACTTCCCGTGCATTTTTCGGTTTTGTGCGTTTCAATTTCGCACGATGGTCCAGAATATGAGCATTTTCTTAGGGTGCAGGGCTCAGGGTGAAATCCATGTGGGCTTTTGTACCTCGAGAATGGATCCGTCCTGTGATTCGCCTTTTGCAAATTCAAACCTCGAAAATCAATCGAAACGGCATTTCAGATTTCACCCTTTTGCCCTCCACCGAGCTGCGGGCGGCGCGTCAAGGCAAGATTCCTCTGGTGTCGTGGCACTGGCGGTCGCTGCCGCCAGGCGAGCTGGTGCACAGTGGCGCTGGAGCGCGGTCTGGCATGTCTTCCTACAGGTGGATCTTGTAAGAAAAATGGAAAATAGTCAAAACATACTCCCAAATAGCCAGCAAATACTCGAAACATCGTCCCCAGACTATTTTTTCGACGATTTTGAATGTTCCTCCTGTAGAGGGACGTGCCCGACTTAACGTTGGACCGCGGTCGAGGCCTGGCTTGGGCCGCTGCCGCCGGGCGAATCGATGCACAGCGGCGCCGGAGGGAAGGGGGAGGGGGGCCGCAGATGGCTGGGCGGAGCATGGACGGTAATTACGGTGGCCGCACCAAGTGGTGAGTCAATCGGGGATGGACAGACCCCCCTTGAGTAAAACGTGGTGTAGTGAAAACGACCTCGGGCCCAAACCTGGCGGGCGTAAACCTGGAAAATGACGGCCGCGGCGCCCTCTCGAGAACCGGAAACGGATAATTCACTCATCGGCGTGTCTGGGTGGGGGGTTCTGTCCACCCCCGAGTCACTGGGGACTCGGAGTGAACTCACGGCTTTGGGACTCGGGTCGTTCTCCGAGGATGTCTCGGGTCATGGGGGCCTCCGAGGCCGAGGCTGCCGCCCTCTGCGGCGAACTCGGGACGGGCAGGCCTTCAAGCGAGGCGCCCTGGACACGCGAGCACGCAAGACTGCAGGGTGCTGGGCACGGGAAGAGGCGAGCGCGCGCGCCGACGCTGAGCGGCGGGCAGCCGGTGGAAGGCAAGCCCAGACCGCAAGCGGGATGCCTGCACCCGGCGGCCTCCCCCCTTTGAAGGGGAACTGGGACACACAAACAAATACACACCAACAAAAATATCCCCCATATTTTCATATATTTTCTGGGTTTCTGTTTTCCCCCCCACTTCCCATATTTCCAACATTTTGTCTGTGTGTTTTTTCCCCTCCTAACCCTTGCGTCATCGGTGGTGCCCGCTCTGCCTGCGACGCCCCTCCCTGGAGATATGTCGGGCGGGTCCCCCTACAGGGGGATTTCCGACGAAAATTAAAACATACCCCCAAAATACCCCCAAAATGTCAAAAAATAGTCAAACAATCGTCCCCTGACTATTTTTGGACTATTTTTGAATATCCCCCTGTAGAGGGACAGGCCCGACTTAACCCTAGAGATCCGGCGTCTTGATCTTTGCCATGACCGGGGCTGGGCTCTCGTCCTGAAGCGTTTTTCTGAGGGTCCCCGGGCCTGGCGAGGGCCCCAGAGGCCGGAAACGGCGGAACGTCTCCGTCATAATCTGCTCAACCAGTTGGGGCCTCTGGGGCCTCTGGGTCTGGCACACGCTCCGCGCCGGCGCGCCCTGCGAAGCCAAGCCAGCCGCTGGTCGACGGCATTGATGACTGGCGCCTCGAAGTGCACGCTCCTCTCCAGCGCGGAGGCCTCGTCCACCATCGCCTGGGCAACGCGTGTGTCTTGCCACTTGCCACATGTAGCCTGCGCGAGCTACAACAAGCATCTATGATAACACGTCTCTCGTTGAAAGCTTAACGACTTCTGCCATCCTTCGACTCGCGCCAGAGCGGCCGCAATTTGCTCCCCAACTGTCCCTGAAGGTCTCTGGGTTTGCCTGGATTTTCCTGGATGTACCTGGATTTGCCCGGATTTATCAGCATTTACCTGAATCAATCCGGATTTATCTGGCTCGATCCCCACAAGTCGACTGGCGAAAAGTCGTCAAACCCTTAGGGAGTCTCGCTACAATAAATCGAGAGGCACGCTCTTTGTCGACCTTGAGCTTCGTCAGGTGCCACGTGGGACTCCGGGCCCACCAGGGGATCTAAGACATGCCTGTAGGGCACCCACTGGCAGGCCACTTTCTCATCTCATAGGCCCACTGTGCGCTGTCTGCCCATTGTCGCTACGGATCGTCCACAGGCTCTGACCGCCCGCATGCCCCGCGCGTCCTCCGCCAAACCCGAATGCGAGCCTGTTTCAAACTGAGATGCTCCACTCCTCGCGGCGAACACTTGCAACTCGAAAGCGGCGCAAAGCACTTGCGAACCGTGCCTTCTCCCATCATGAATCCCTCTCGTTCTCCTCCCCACCAGGAAAGCAGTGACGGAGCTCCTGGGCCTCCGTGAAGGTCCAGACTTGCCCATCGACGAGAAACTTCTTCTGCAGCTTGCACACCTGCGCGAAAGGAGGCCACGTATCTCGCAGCGCGAGGCGGGGACTGCCGACTGCAAACCGACGCCCCTCGCTACCGTCGCAGGCTCAGTGCCCACCCGGCACGGTCGCATGGCAATCCGAGCGCCCAGCTGCCTGGCTGATCACCACATGGGATGCCTCTCTTGTGCCGCCCAGCCCTCGGCCCAGAGCCCCGATGGGCCTGCGAGCCCAGGGCGGAGCCATCCGTTCCCCAAGCTGGGCGGACCCCTTGGCGTCTCGCCTGGGCCCAGGAGCCAGCGGAGTGCGGACCCGGCGGCTTCCGGCCCTGGCACGGTGGTGCCAATGACCGCTGGCGCCGAGAAGCGACACACGCCTTGCCTGGCATCGGAGAGGCCGCGGAGCTTCCCATGGGGACCTTCTGGCTGCAACCTCGTGGGGACCTCTTGCAGCCCTCCTCACTTTCAGCCTTCTCCGGCCGCAGAGCCTCCTTCCACCACCTGCAGCCCCTCAAAAACCTCTGGCAGCTCCTGTCATCCGCAATATCCTCGGGCCAGCCCCCTTCCCTCCCACCGGATGGGAAACACAAGCGGAGCGATTATCGGATGCTGGATCCTCAGATGTGGATCTGGTAGCACCCTGCAACTCATGAATCTTTCATGTCGTCATGGAATGGAGTACCAAGTTCGCGCGTGGTCCGTCGCTCCCGTCTGTACTTGCTGGCCCCATCGCCTCAACTCAAGAGACGCAGGGATCAATGGAAGATAAAAAGTGGAAAGCGCCTGCGCGGCGCCTTGGTCTGCAAATTCCACAAGCGCGAATGCCGCGCCGTTGGCATCCGAGTCGATCCTGAGGTTCTTCACCTGTGCGTGGCGGTGGGCTAAGTGAATCGAGGAAAAGCAACCCGCACAAACATAAACTTTTGAAGGTCCCTGGCGCGCGGAGCGCGCCAGGGGCGGCGCCGGAGGCGCCAGAGGGGCCCTAGCGCAGATCCGAGAAATCCGCGCGGAACTCCGAACGTTTATCTATACGCAATTTTTCTTCCTCGCGCAAAGGACCAGAACACTAGGGACAGAATGGTCGACCCCTTGAGGTCTACCCACTCCCCGGTGCCAACTTTTCATGCCGAGTCGTTTCTGGAGGTCCCATAGCCCGGCGTGGGCCCTCAGAGGCCGAAAGCAGCAAAAAGCCCCCCCCCGTGATTCCTTCACGACGAGCAGAGCAATGGGGCCCCTGTTCTCCAGCCTTCGGTCGGCAAGACTGCATGACTCCTTGACAAGCTGCGGCCCGCCCTGCCTGTGCCGTGCTCGCGCGGTGGCCTGTCGTCCGCCACATTTCCATTGATTCGCATGTGGCGCTCGCATCGTCGTCGTCGTCGTCGGCGTCGTCGTCGCCGTCGTCCCAAACCACTCCCAACCTGGACATTACCCGGCCACTCCCCCATCCCCCGCGCGTTTCCATTAGAGGAACAGGAGCCGAACGAACAGTCAGGAGTCGCCGCCAGGGGGGCCCAGCGCCGATCCGAGAAATCCGCGCGGAGCTCCGAATGTTTATGCTTATCTTTCTTATTCGATCCATGTGATTCGCATACGGCGCTCGCTCCACCGTTCAAGCTATGACCTGCTTCGCAGTCTTGGGCGTAAAGAACCTTCAGTGGTTCGTCGCTTTGCCACCGCTGTCGTTCAGCGCGCCAGTAAATTGGAACATGTGGCTTCAGCGTGTCACACGGCGCGCTTCGCGCGCCAGGGAAGAGGGGTCGAGCGCCTCTTCGATGTTTGCCGCTTTGTGGCACTCAGATGTGCAGAATTCGTTGCGACAACTCCCAACACACCAACACTCCTGACCCCCCCTGGGCAAATAAAGAAGGAAAGAGAAGGATGAGGAGGAAGAGCAGGAGGAAGATGGAGGAAGCAGGAGGGAGGAAGGGGAGGGGGGAAGAGGAAGCGTATCATGAAAGAGGCGCTGGATGAGGAAGGCCCGCCTGCTTCCAGGTGGCCCGCTCTGGAAACCTTGGGCCCCCTAAAATACTGCCGTCTGCGGGGGGGGGGGCACCTCTCGACTACCCGTTGTTCAAAGATGGGGTCCTGAGGGATGGGGTCCTAAGGACGAGGTGCCTCAAACAACGTAAATCCTGTCTTGGATCCCTGTCTATCCTTAGGTTTAGGTCGGGCATGTCCTCCTACAGGCGGATTTTGGACGAAAAGTGGAAAAGAACCAAACAAAATGCAAAAATAGCTCCAGATGGTCAAACAATCGTCCCAGGACTACTTCCCGACGATTCCTGAACATTTACTCCTGTAGAAGGACGAGCCCGACTCAACCTTATGCCCCCATCCCTCAGGACCTCATCTTTGGACCACCGACTTTGGTGCGCGGCGCTCGCCGATCGCCGCGTGGGATGCCGCCACACAGCGGCCTGCGTGCCCCTGGGCGCTTTCGGCCTCCGGCCGCCTCCCCCCAGCGGCGCGCAGCGGGGGGGTCTTAGGGGGAGGGGGGAAGGCTCCTTAGAAGGGGGCTGCTTCTGATCGGGGGCGCGCAAACATGGATTAGCGATCCATGGATTTGGCGCGAGGTCGCCGAATCCATGGATCGGGGGAGGTGTCCTCCCCAAAATGGGGCCGGTGCCGCCTCGTTCGGCGGAGGAAATCCGCGAGCTCCTGTGGAAACGGGGCCCGTCGCTAATCCACGTCCCCTTGATCTATGCTTGCGATCGCCTGATTCTTGAAAGGCGCCGGCCTTGCGCCTCCCGAGGAGCAGGGGTGCTGGACCCGGCAGGGGGTCAGCCGGGGTGCTTTTCGTCTGGGGCCCCCCAGGGGCCGCCCCGCGCGCGCGAACTAGAAATACTGTTAAGTAGTCACCGGAGACCTTAGCACGCCTCTGGCCCGTTGGGCCGGCGAATTGTCATTTTTCGTCCCAAATCCCCCTCTGGGGGGACAGGCCCGACCTGGCGCCACGTGCGGAGCGCCAGGGGCCCACAGCTGGCCGCGGCGGGCCCCGGCCGCGCACGGGCTCCCCGACCGCCTGGTGGGTGCAGGTCCTCCTCGGCCCGCGCGTCGAGGCCGCCGCCCTCCCAGAAGCCAAGCTGCCACGGGAGCATCTGCCCCACTGCTTGTCTTGAGGGATGAAAAAACGGCCCTACCCTGGGTTACAAATGCGTGGTCTGTGAACCTCCTGGGAACCCCCAAAGCCTAGAGCCGCCAGGACGCGGCACATCACGCAGGGTTTACCCTGTCAGCCCACAGGAGTTTCAGAGCACAGCGCCTCATAAAGCTTTAGACGCTCGAAATGGGTACCGAAAAAATGGGTACAATGCCCAACAGCAAATGTTGTCCCAAACCAACAGCGGCCGCTGTTGGGCGGGCGGCCTCCTGTCTCGAATGGACACAGGCCGCGGCGGCGTGGACAGCGAGCCCTGTTCAAAATGAACAAGATCCGCTGTTGGGCATTGTACCCATCCTTTCAGCACCCATTTCGTGCGTGCAGAGTTGCTTGTTATGAGAGGAAGAGAACCGTGCACACACACACACACACGCCGATTCTGGCCAGGCCCATCCTGAGCCCAGGATCGGTGCATACGCCCTCTGCCTTGACCAGGAAGGTATATGCACCGATCCTGGGTCAAGGATGGGCCTTGCCAGGATCGGTGCATGTGTATAGTTCTCTCCGCCCGACGTCATAGGGTGTCGTTCCTCGTCGTCCCCCCTCGGCCTAGATCTACAAGGCAGCCTGGAAGCACACGTGGCCGGCTGCACGCGCAGAGGACCGAGCGGCCACGCGCTGGATACGCGCGCAGCAGCCCAGCGCGCCTGGCCACAGCAGGGCCAAGCGCTGGAGCGAAGTACGGCCAAATGTCTCTGCCTCTCGCTCAGAAGCCTGCCACCTCGGTGTGCATCCGGCTTCCCGGCACGGAACAGCCCAGAAACGAAACCAGCCCCTGCTGAACCCAGACCGGTCCCTGTGGCAGCGTCTTGACTGCAGCACAGCTGTGGTGGTCCCTGAGATCCGACGCAGCGAACAATTACGACCGAAGCCTTGGACCCCATCTTGTCTATTTTGAAGGGGCCCTGGGACACACAAATCAATACACACAAATAAAAAGATCCCCCATATTTTCTCATATTTTCATCGGGATTTTCCCTATATTTTCCTGGGGATCGACGATTCATTGTGTCTGTGTGTGGTTTTCCCGTCCTGATACGTATTCGTCGAGCCGGAACGATCTGTGATGGCCCTGTTTCCCGAAGCCGCGCGAAAACGCCTGGTGCGAAGACGTTGCCACGCCCGCA